CGGCCCTTGCGACGCCATCTTCCGCATGTACAACCGCTCCTGCCCCTTCTCGCCCGCCGCGCGCGAGTTCTGCGACGCCCTCCTCGTCATCGACGCGAATGCTCGCGCGACCATCGAGCAGTGCCTCGAGCACCCGTGGCTGTCGGCGCCGCTGCCCACCGCCACCTCTGGCATCGCCACTGCGGCCGCTGCTGGTGACAAGACGACGGTCCCGGCCTTTGTCCCCGCCCCCGCGGCTGCCGCCAGCTCGGTGGAGGAGATGGACGTAGAGGAGGCGCCGCCGCCGCCGTCGCGGGAGCCTCCGAGGCTGGACGCGGAGGGGGAGCGGCAGCTCGCGCTAGCCCTCTTCGCGACCTCCAAGCAGGACGGCGCGGCGCCTCCCGCTGAGGCGCCAGCGGCTGAGCCTGGTGCGCGCATCTCCCCCCATCCCCCCCCCCCCCCACCTTGCGCCAATCATCGCGCCACCCTCGTGCCACGCTTCGCTTCACCCCCCGCCATACCTTGTGCCGCGGCGCACGCTGCACGCTTCTGACCTGTCCTGTCCCCTTCCCGCGCAGACGCGCCCGTCGGCTCATCGTCGTTTGACACCGGCGCTTCCGCTTCCGTGCCTCGCAAAAAGAAGGCGGATGAGCCGTCGCCGTCGGCTTCTGCTGCCAAGAAGGCGAAGGCGGGCGGCAAGGAGAAGGAGGAGCAGTCCCCAGCGGCGCCGGCATCGCCGGCGAAGGTCGCCCTCTCCTGGCTGGAGCAGCTGCCGCTTCGCCGGCTCAAGGCGCTCTGCGAGGAGAAGGGGCTGCCGGCGTCCGGCGACTCGGAGGCGCTGGCGGGGCGGCTGCGCGAGAGCGGCGGGTTGGGCGTGCCGCAGCTCGAGGCGCTGTGTGAGCTGGTCTGCGTCGCCAAGCAGGGCAGTGCGGCGGAGATCGTGCGGCGCATCGGTGACATGCTGAGGCGCATCGGTGCCAGGCTGACAGCTGATCCTTCGGATCGCGAGTTCGTGCTGGCCGTCGTGCGGCGGAACAGCCATGCGCTGCACTACGCCTCGCAGGAGCTGAAGGCGGACCGCGAGGTGGTGCTGGCCGCCGTGCGGCGGAACGGCGATGCGCTGGAGTACGCCTCGGAGGAGCTGAGGGCGGACCGCGAGGTGGTGCTGGCCGCCGTGCAGCAGAGCGGCGAGGTGCTGCGGTACGCCTCGCAGGAGCTGAAGGCGGACCGCGAGGTCGTGCTGGCCGCCGTGCAGCAGAGCGGTGTAGCGCTGGAGTACGCCTCGCAGGAGCTGAAGGCGGACCGAGAGGTGGTGCTGGCCGCCGTGCGGCAGCGCGGCAGTGCGCTAGAGTACGCCTGGCAGAAGCTGAGGGCGGACCGCGAGTTCATGCTGGCCGCTGTGCAGCGGAACGGCTGGGCGCTGCAGCACGCCTCGCAGGAGCTGAGGGCGGACCGAGAGGTGGTGCTGGCCGCCGTGCAGCAGAGCGGGTTCGCGCTGGAGTACGCCTCGGAGGAGCTGAAGGCGGACCGCGAGGTGGTGCTGGCCGCCGTGCACCAAGACGGTGAGGCGCTGGGGACGGCGAGGCGTTGGAGACAGCAGCGCGGCGAGGCGCTGCAGTTTGCGTCTGAGGAGCTGCGGGCGGACCGCGAGGTCGTGCTGGCCACCGTGCAACAGGACGGTGATGCGCTGGAGTACGCCTCGGCGGAGCTGAAGGCGGACCGCGAGGTGGTGCTAGCCGCCGTGCAGCGGAGCGTCATGGCGCTGCGGTTCGCTTCGAAGGAGCTGAGGGCGGACCGCGAGGTCGTGCTGGCCACCGTGCAACAGGACGGTGATGCGCTGGAGTACGCCTCGGCGGAGCTGAAGGCGGACCGCGAGGTGGTGCTAGCCGCCGTGCAGCGGAGCGTCATGGCGCTGCGGTTCGCCTCGCAGGAGCTGAGGGCGGACCGCGAGGTGGTGCTGGCCGCCGTGCAGCAGAGCGGCGAGGTGCTGCGGTACGCCTCGGAGGAGCTGAGGGCGGACCGCGAGGTGGTGCTGGCCGCCGTGCAGCAGAGCGGCGAGGTGCTGCGGTACGCCTCGCAGGAGCTGAAGGCGGACCGAGAGGTGGTGCTGGCCGCCGTGCGGCAGAGCGGCAGTGCGCTAGAGTACGCCTGGCAGAAGCTGAGGGCGGACCGCGAGTTCATGCTGGCCGCCGTGCAGCAGGACGGCTGGGCGCTGCAGCACGCCTCGCAGGAGCTGAGGGCGGACCGAGATGTGGTGCTGGCCGCCGTGCAGCAGAGCGGGTTCGCGCTGGAGTACGCCTCGCAGGAGCTGAAGGCGGACCGCGAGGTGGTGCTGGCCGCCGTGCGGCAGAGCGGCAGTGCGCTGGAGGACGCCTCGCAGGAGCTGAGGGCGGACCGCGAGTTCATGCTGGCCGCTCGACGTGTGCGGCAGCGCGGAGATACTATCGACAGCGCGGAGATATCGTGTTTGCGGCTGTGAAGCAGAACGGCAATGCGCTGCGGTTTGCTTCGCAGGAGCTGAGGGCGGAGCGTGGATGGCGGCGGTAGCTCGGCGGGGCAGCCAAGGCAAGCGCGCAAGCCGCGCTGTTGCTACTCTTGACGATTGAGTGAAGGGATTTTCGCTTTGTCTGTACGGCACTGTACTGTTTGCCTCGCTGACACACTCATAGAGCATGCGGTGGCCGAGGGTGTTGTACTAGTGTTCACTGACTGTGGTACCGTGGTCGGCCGATAGGGCATCGAGTACGTTACTGCACTGCAACTTTGACGTACATACTGCTTCCCGCGCAACACGTACTTCAGACCGCGCCACTGTCGCTCCAACCACGTAAGAAACCTACTGTGTCGCTCACAGACACGACCCGCACGCCCGGCTAGAGAGGCCCGCCGGTGGTGACGGCGATCTCCACCGGCGCCGATGCCGCTGGCGCCGCCGCCGGCGCCGCCGCCGGCGCCGACGCGCGCGCCTCCGCCCCCGCCCCCCTGCCGCTCTCGGCCGCGGGCTCGAGGCGGAGTTGTGTCCACGGAGAGGGCGACTTGGAGCACTTGGAGTGCAGTCATTAGCCTCATATCCAGGGCCGGGGAGAGCTGAGAAGCGCACCCAGCGGGCCGGATGATCGGGATCGGGTTGCGGGCTCGCACCCCGTCTGTTTTCCTTTCCTTTTTTCTCTACAACCCCCTCTCTTTTCCTCTCTATTTTCCCGGGAAAACTCCGTGGAAATCGTCAAATTTTGGGCGCTGAGCCGAGTCTGAGGCTGGTTTGGGCCCAAAATCATTTACCCTGCGACCGCCTGGGTATTTTGTCGATTTCCTCAATTTTGCCTCAGATTTTGCCCCAGACCAGCTCTCAGAAGAAGGGAAAGTCGCGAGAGTTTCCAGAATGGAGCACCAAACACCCTCTGTTTTCCCTGGAAATTTCCGGATAAACGCAAAGTGCTGGGTGCCCTGGAGTTTTCTTTTTGTTTGCCGGAAACCTGCAAAAGCCCAACACCTGGCAACGGCCAACCGCTGGTCGCTGCCAGCGTAGAGTATCGCTGCTGCGAACGACGAGTTAGCAGTTAAAGCCGTACGTCAAGAGAGACGGTCCTCGCGACACCCTCGCTCGCGCGGTCTCCTTTTTTGTGTGCGCTAATTCCCGCTAAAGCCGTACGGCTTTACCCATACGACCCCCAAGACTAAAACGACACGTACGAAGTTTTACACGACGTCAAGGACGAAGGATGCTCGACGAAGGAGATGCCGCCGGCGCTCCCCTTGTGCAAGGGACAACTACCGCGACATGCAAACTCGAGGGCGTCGAGGTCGATTGCGCACTCCTTGGACGAGCCCGGCATGGCGGCGGGCGCCGGTGAAGGGAGCTCCGGCGGGGCCGGCGTTGGCGGTGGCGCGGGCTCGACCGGCTCGAGCGGCGTCGGGGGCGCGGGGACCGGCGCGGCCGCCGCCTCGGTGGCAACGGCGGGCTTCTAGTCGGTGCGCGCGCGCTTGGTCTTGCGCGCGCCCGACTTGCGCGCGCTGGGGCGTGCGTGCGCGCCGAAGTCGTAGTCGTCGGGCTCGCGCTCGGCGCCGTCCTCGAGGTCGGACTGGGCGTGCTCCCGCTCCAGCTCCGCCAAGCCCAGCTCGAGCTCGTCCTGGCCCATCGCCTCCTGCTTGGCAGCGTTCAGCCATGCCTCGCGCTCTTGCGTCTTGATGGCCTCGAACGCCACGGCATCGGCCTTGCGCCGCGCCTCCTGAGCGGCGGCGGCGGCGGCGGCGGCGGCGCGGCGGCGAGGGCGCACGGTAGCACCCGCCGCCGGCGGTGCGGGCTCCATCGAGGGCTCGACCGTCCGGCTGTCCTCAATAGCCGCCGCCGCCGAGGCCGCGACGCCGTTTTGCGCAAAACCGGGCTCCGCCTCGTCGTCGTCGGAGCCGTAGCGGACAGTCGAGTCGCTCAGCTCCGCCTCGTCCCCGGCCTCGCCCATCTCCGAGCCGGTCTCGCTCAACTCGGTGTCGCATATCGGCATCAACGTCTCCTCCGCCGCCTCCGCCTCGACGCTCTGCGCAACCTCGCCTGCCTCCGCCTCGTCCACCTCCTCCGCCGCATCCGCCTCGACGCTCTGCGCAACCTCGCCTGCCTCCGCCTCGTCCACCTCGCCCGCCTCGTCCGCCTCCTCCGCCTCGTCCACCTCCACCGCCTCGTCCACCTCGTCCGCCTCGTCCGCCTCGTCCGCCTCGTCCGCCTCGTCCGCCTTGTCCGCCTCCGAGTCAATCTCGACCTTGGCCTCAACCTCCGCCTTGCGCTTCGCCATGTCGACCACGTCCTCCTCGCCCTCGTCGGACGGCCGCGGTGCGCGAGGAGCCGGCGGAGGGGGGGCCGCGTTCGGGCGAGTGACGGACGACCAAGCGAGGCTGCTCTTGCGCCCGACGTGCCGCGACGGGGGCATCGGGGCGGCGCGCAGGGGGGAAGGAGAGAACGGCCAGCTTCTGGGGCCGCCGGCCGGGGTCGCCGGCGTCGGCGGCGGCGGCGGCGCGCGCGGATACGAAACGAAACGGTAGGGACTCGGCGCCCAAGTCGGAGGGCCGTAGCGCCGCTGCGGCGACGGCGGCCGAGGCGGGGCGCGCTCGTCGTAGCCGCGGCGCAGCGGTCCGTCCACGAAGCTGTAGCGTGGCGGGCCGCGGCCGTCGTCGAATCTGCCGCGCCTTGGCGGCTCGTGACCGCCACCAAAGCCGCCACGCGGTGGCGGCGGGCCGCGGTCTCCAACGCCGCGGCGCGGAGGAGGGCCGCGCCACTCGCCTCCGTAGCCGCGGCCGGGCTGGCCCTCGCGGTCGTTGAAGGTCCAGCGGTCGCTTCCGTGGCGCGGGGGGCGGTCGTAGCCGCCGCGCATCACACCCCCGGGCAGGCCGTCGCGGTGGATGAGCACAGAGCCCCGTGGCTCCATCCGCACCGGCACGCATGGGGGCGTGCGCGGGGGGGGCTGGCTCTCTCCGAGAGCCTCTGGCTCGGCCGGTCCGGCCTGCTTGGCTAGGTTGGCGACGGACGGCTCGGCGGCTGCTGGCGGCGGCATTTGCGGAGCCGCCTCGCGGAGGAGGGTCATCTCTCCGCGGCGAGCACTTGCGGCGAGCGCGAGCGACGACACGTCGTCGTCGCTCCCGCCGTTGCTCACGGACACCTCGACCGAGAGCATCGCGGTACCGCCGTGGGGGTTGAAGACGGCGTTGTCGACTGCCGGGCCCGTTGGCGCCTCGACGGCGACGTTCGCAAGAAAACCGTTCGGCACGGGCGGCGCCGGCATCTCTTGGTAGCGGTGGTGTTCGACACGGGGGTCATCGCTCAGCGGGAATCGCGTTCGGGCCCTCTTCGAGGCCGGGCTCTCAACCTCCGCCGCGAAGCAGAGTGCGCGAGACGTCGGCGGGCTCCCTGCCTCACCGAGAACGTACCTTCCACGCTTCTTCCCAAGCTCGTCGGGCGGCATCAGGCCCGACGGGTAGCGATCGTTAGCGGCCGCTCGTGCGCGATTCTGCATGCCTGCGAGGCGTTGCAGGGCACGAGTCGGGTAGAGCATGTGCAGGCGGCGGCGCACGTGGCGAGGCGGGAGGAGGGAGAGAAGGAGAGCAAGCAGGGGTGGCGAGGGCGGCGGGGCGCGGAGGCGAGGCGCGACGGGCGAGGGCGCGGCGCACCGAGGCGCGCTGGACGGGGCTGTAGCGAGGGCAAAGCCGCAAGGAGCAGAGAGAGCCCTCAGGTTGGTGGAGGCGGAGCTGGAGCGCTGGAGCTGGAGCAGGTTGGCGAGGTGGAGCAGGTCGGTCGGAGTGGTGGAGCGGCGGCCAGGCCGGCCAGCCTGGGTGCCGGCATAGCTGCAGGGAGGGCGAAAGCGGCTCGCGGCCGCCGCCGTCGCCCGCGGCGGAGGTGGATTCCGCACGCGCGGACTAGCACACACACCGGCAGGACGAGGCAGAAGAGAATCTTACAACAAAACATTAGCTCCGAGTAGAGGGGGCGCTCCGCTGCTAGGGGAAACCTGGAGCGCGGACTAACCCTCGGAGACCCGTGTTTACTTTACGGCCCTTTCCCTGCGAACGCGCACCCCCTGGGCTAGGGCTCTCTTGCCCGCAACCCGATGCCAATCATCCGGCCCGCTGGGTGCGCTTCTCAGCTCCCCGGCCCTGGGTGTGCGGTTGCCGACTGCACTCCAAGTGCTCCAAAACTCCCTCGCACAACACTGGGCACGGGACTGGCGCGCACTGGCACGAACACAGGTACACCACGGGAGCCGCCTAAGCGACTCCTGCGAGGGTGGCGAGGCACTTAGCTCCGTGCACCCGCCCACCCCCGCCACAGGCAAGCTCATTCACGACCTGCTCTGCGATGGCCGTGTGAAGAACGACTGAGATGCGCTGCTTCTGCAGCCCCAGCCAGCTCTTGGTGGTCCAAGTCACCTCATCGAGGTACTGGGCCCGCGTCAGCTTGTTCTGTAGCACGTCCGCCGCTCTCCGGAGGATCTCACGGACCCCCTTTCCGAACCCGCCGAACGATTCGAACAGCAGCAGCTGCACTTCGACGCCCTTGTCTTCCCTGGCGTAGCGATAGTCCCCGCCGTAGGACGGTATGCGGCGGTCGCCGCCCACCACCCTGCCCCCCCTGGTATGCCAGCGCCCAGTCCCTTGCCCTCTCTCGCCCTTGCTCTTCCTCTCCCCCTCCATGCCGCCCCCCCCGTACCCCTCCCCCTCCCCCCCCCCCTCCTCCTCTCCCCCCCCCTCTCCCTGCCCCCCACCTCCCTCTCCCTCCTCGCAGTAGGGCCCATGCCCCATGACCATGTTCCGGTAGAATGATTCAGTGTTGCCGAAAGCGACAAAAGCGCCCTTCCGACCGTGCTCCCCGCTGCTGCTGAGGGAACAGACGACCTTGACGTCTCCGCAATAGTGCGTGCCGTGCGAGCCAATGTTGTCCGCGTCCACGTCGGGTTGTTTGTTGTAACTCTGACCGAGGTGGGCTTTCGGCTCCATTCGCACAGCGGTGCCCCACGCGGCGCGTAGGGCGAGGATGAGGCGTCGAAGCGTGTACTTGTGTCTGGTGTTGTGGCCCTGCTGCGGTACGTTGACAGCAGCGTCGCCATACTCGTCGTGGGTCTTCCCATTCCGAGTCTTCTTGCCCGCCGCCGCGGCCTGGCAGGCCACGTCGAGGGGGAGACCCAGGCGGCGCTGCACCGAAAGACGCATCGCCCAAGTCTCCATTCGCATGTCATCCCGCATTGGGATGGCGTTGAGGAAGGCGCCGGCGCCATCCTGGCTCACCGCCACGAAGCGGACTGCCTCCCGCCAAGCCGCATGCCTCGCCCGCTCCCTGCCCTTGGCCTGCGCCTTGCCCTTCTTGCCGCGAGGAGCGGACCGCGATCCCTTGGAGCCCTCCTGCCTTAGCTCGAGGGCGAGGTCGCGCCAGTTCCTGTTGTGGACCACCGTCGTGAAGCGCCGCTGCGCCTGGTGTAGGAACTCGTGCTTGGACGTGAACTCGGCGAGGGGCAGCAGCTCCTTGGCCTGGACGAGAGTATGCGGACGGAAGCGCGAGAGCGCCACCCTCGTAGCCGGCTCCGGCGGCCGCGCGGAGGCGCGCAGCTTCTCGCCCTCGTCGGGCTCGTCCCACGGCTCCACCTCGACTTCCGGGGGCCTGCCCGTCGTGCCACCGACCAGGTCAAAGTACTCCGCCTCCGTCTTGTCGTCCCACTCCTTCCACGTCGCCGTGATCTCGCCGTGCTCCTTCTTGAGCCTGTCATGCGCCGCCCGCAGCTCGTCGAAATCGGAGCCCGGCGCCTTGCTCACGTCAAGGTCGCGGAAAGGAGCATGCAGCTGGCGCATGGGCCCAGCGACGAGCGCCCACGTGCCAATCCACGCCGGCTCGCGAATGTCGACGGCAGAAGAGAATGACGCGACGTCGAAATGACAAGGGAGAGGACGACGAGAGTGGGACGGCCGCGAGGTGGCATGAAGGTTGCAGCGAGAATCGGCGAGAGACTGCGAAAAGAGATAGGAAGAGGCAGACTCCCTAGGGTGGGCGACGGCTAGCGCATCACACTCCTCTCCTTAAAATCCCTGTGTGGTGGCGGCGTGCCGTCCTCCCATCCCTCCCTTGGGTTGTCTGTTTTCTTTCTTTCTTTTACCGGCTCACCTGCGAACAAGAAAATCTGCTCGGATCGGCCGCTGAATGCGTTGTTTGGCAGGTGCGTCATGCCCTCGGGCAGCACCGCGTGCCCGCAGGTGAGGACAACCTGCCAGCCGCCCACGGTCAATATCTCGGAGCCGCCGGCGGTCAACATCCCGGACGCGATGCCGGTGCGATTCCGGCGATGTTTTCTTTTTTGCGAGGCTCTGGCCTCTGGACAGACTGTTGTTCATCTTTCTACATACATACATACAGGCTAGTTAGGAAGGCGCCCCCAGGGCTAGGGCTCTCCAGCCCGCAACCCGATGCCAATCGTCCGGCCCCGCTGGGTGCGCTTTTCTGCTCCCCGGCCCTTGGTGTGAGGTTGATGACTCACTCAAAAAGAAAGAAAGAAAGCAGGCAACCAAGGGAGGGATAGGAGGACGGTACGCCGCCACCACACAGGGATTTTAGGGGAGAAGTGTGGTGTTAGCCGTCGCCCACCCTCGGGCGTCTGATCACTCAAAAAGAAAGAAAGAAAACAGACAAACCCAGACGAGGGATGGGGGAGGATCACTCAGAAAGAAAGAAAACAGACAACCCAAGGGAGGGATGGGAGGACGGCACGCCGCCACCACACAGGGATTTTAGGGGAGAAGTGTGGTGTTAGCCGTCGCCCACCCTCGGGCGTCTACCACTTCCTATCTCTCTCCGCAGTTTATCACCAATTCTTGCAGCGACCTTCATGCCACCTCGCATTCTTCCCACTCTCGTCGTTCTCTCTCCTGCTGTCTCTTCCCCTGACTCATCGCTCTCCTCGGCCTCGTTCTGAGACGCCGCTGTCGTCTGCCGATCTCTTGCTCTCGCTGCTTCTCTCGCCTTTCTGCGTAACTCCGCTCTCCTCTCCGCGTATTTTGGTCCCTCGAGTTTATCGAGCATTCCTCGCGCAAGGACCACATTTCTGACTCCCACTGCGAGCATATCCCGCCCTGTCATGTCGTTGCTCAGGTCCACTCTCGTTTCGAGCACTTGTACCTCAATGGTCGGTGTTGGCACTGGGGTTCCCTTCGGGTATATTGCTCTGGGCCGGCGCGGGGCCCCCCGGAGGCACCGTGCGCCGCGCCGCAGTGCGGAAACGGGGCTCCGGCTCTATGAGTCTCTATGAGCACCGACTTCCCGATTAAGCTAGGTTAATCAGAGGGCAGATTTGGAAAGATCTCGAGGAGTACATACAGATAGACCCTCCAACCATCAGAAAACTCCGACCTGATCGGTCGTACTGACCGCCGACAGATTCACTCCAGACAGCAGACAGGCCGACGTCTGCACGCGGCCGGCCGGGCGAGAGGCTTGACACGATCCGACCCTGCGACCCTGACGCTGCTGCTCTAGCTATCAGCCATGCACTGCTGACTGCTGCCACAATGTGCGACCTGTGCTGGCCCACTTGGCGGCCTTCCCGGTCAGTGGTGAGGCGCAGTTCAGAGCTGTCGATGGCGCGATGCCGCACTGGTCCCACATTGGTGACACGATACCACCAAGTTTGCCGGTCCAAGAGAGAGGCACCGGCGCTGTCCTGAGAAGGTGCGTGGTCCCTCTTGACTGCCCATGCGCGCGAGGCTGTGTAGGCATAGCCTCGAGAGTGCCAGCAGCCAATCCGAGGCGACGCGCATTGCGCCAGAAGCGTGCACACGATGGAAGGACACCTTCCTACTGGCCGTACGATCAGGTCGTCACTGAATGCTTGATACTAAGCCGCGAGCTATGCAGGTGATCAATTGTGCATCATGGCACGGTCAGCTGCGCCGACAGGCTGTCGCAAGGCGTGATAGCATGGCCGCCGAATTCCCATGAAAACAAGTAAAAAATGGCCAAAAAGAAAAAAATCCCGAAAAATCGGCGCCTGCGGCGGGCCATGGGACCCCATCTCCCCCCCGCATGGACACCCTCTGGGGCCCCCGCGCCGGCCCAGAGGTATATTGTGACAGCTGACGGCGGGATTTCCACTTTTGTTTCGTCCTCCTCGGGGTCGTCTTCCCCGGCTTCCTTGCGTTCGGCGTGGCTTACCCTCCATGCCGTGAACAGGCGCTTTATCCACTCTATATTCTTCTCTCGTTCCTCTGCCCGTGCCTTGGTCTTGTCGTTGTTTCGCACCCATGTCTGTATGGCCATCGAGGCTGCCTTCCCCACTACCTGTAGTTCACTCGTCACCTCTCCCGCGAGCTCCCCTCTCTTTCTTTCGGTTATGGTGTCCGTGAGTGCGGGCAGCGTGCAGGCAATCACGGGCGCTATTTTGTCGTACTCCCCTTCGGCGAGCGCTCCGAATCTAGACCCCATTGCCTTTAAGGAGGCTGCCCTCGCGCGTCTCAGGAATGTAGCGGTGTCCTTTGAGTCCGGCGCCGCCCGTTCGACTATTGCTGTCGCCCTCGCCGTGTGTTTGTCTAGCTCAAAAAAGGTTTCTTTGTTTCGATGGTGGAGCTGGAGCGGCCTTCGCGGCAGTCGCTCCACCTCCGCCGCGGGCGACGGCGGCGGCCGCGAGCCGCACCCGCCCTCCCCGCAGCCATGCCGGCACCCAGGCTGGCCGGCCTGGCCGCCGCTCCACCACTCCGACCGACCTGCTCGCACCTCGCCAACCTGCTCCAGCTCCAGCGCTCCAGCTCCGCCTCCACCCACTCCTGAGCCCAGTCAGGCATACCTCCTTGTCTACGCGCTCGCGCTCACCAGCCCAACACGTACAGCGAGGCGCGCGCCGATGACCGCCCCCGCCGCCTGCCCGACCTCCCAGCCTTCCAAGCCCACCCACTTCTCTGCAGCTACAGCTCTCCCCTCACGGCCGCGCGCCGCGCGCCTGTGCCATCCCTTCATGTCAGTCGTTGCGTCCGCGCCAGCAGCGACTAACCGATCCGATCACCTTTCCTTGATCGCAGATGCCACTACCAACCCTCGCGCTCCGGCACATGCAAGTGACGCCCAACTACATGAAATCCCTCGTCACCGCGCACGACTCCGCGCAGACGGCGTTCAAGGACAAAGCGGCCAACGCCAAGGACGCGGGTGCGACGGAGTTCAAGGTGGAAGTCCGCACGATATACGGCAAGACCGCCCTCCTCACCTACGACAACGGCCCGGGGCCCGTCGACGCCGTCCAGGGCAGCCCAACCTGCGGCACCGTCACGCTCGACTCCTTCATGGGCCCGCTCTTCAACCTCGGTGGCACCACCGCGCTGGGCGACGCCCGCAAGATCGGGCAGTACGGGGTCGGGGCCATCACGGGGCCACTCCGGATCGGCAAGGACGTGCTCGTCGCCACGCGCAGCGCCGACTACCTCTACTGCGCGCTGCTCTCCTCGTCTCTCATCCTGGAGGAGCAGACCGACGGCATCCTGCTTCCCTACCTCGTCTACAGCTTCGCCGAGGGCGTGTGGTACGAGAACGTGCCGGGCTCCTCCTTTGGCTTCTTCAACCGCTTCACCGCCTTCGGCACCGACTTCGGCCGCCCCGACCTCGACAAGCTCCTCGAGGTGTGCGTGGAGCTCTTGCCCGATGTCGGCGGGCTGCTTCACGTCATCTCCAACCTCGCCGACGAGATCGAGGTGGGCAAGGAGCGGGGCGACATCATGATGCCCAAGCTGGCGCACGAGTTTGACACCAGCCTCTCGCGCTACCTCTCCTACGCCTTCTACAAGTCCGGCACCGGCGACGACAGCGACTTCAAGATCACCATCAAGTCAAGGGCAGCCTCGCACCGCTCCGAGGCGGGCAAGGGGCCGTTCCGCGAGACGATGCTCAAGTGCAAGAGGACGCTTCCGCCGTACAAGGCGCACGGCACGTGCCCGAACACGCTGCCCATCGAGGCGGACGTGGTCGTCGGCTTCACCACCAAGGAGAACGTCGGCACGAGCTCCAATGTCGACGAGCTGCCGATGGGCCTCTGCATCTCCATCAACGGCGTGATGGTCACGATGTTCGAGCTACTGCCGAAGCAGGCGAACGGCTTTCGCAGCCACGCCTCGGTTGCCGACAAGGTCCGCACCTACTGGCACGGCCTGGTGGTGCTCGTCAAGCTCAAGCTCGCGGACGACAACAAGCTCGAGGACTACGGCCTGCTCATCAACCAGCGCAAGGACGGCTTCCAGGAGAACAAGGCGTTCACCAAGCTCAAGGCCGCCATCCTGTCCAAGGTGCTTCAGCAGTACATCCCTAACGTCGACTTCGAGCGGCTCGTGCCGACGCCGCTCTTGCTGGCCGGCCCTCGCTTCGGGTCCTCCGAGGAGGCGGTCCGCCACGTCAGCTGCGCCCGGTGGCCGAGCAATCGGCCTCCCGCGCCGGGGCAGTCTTCCGCGCCCTACAAGAAGGCGGCGCTGGCGATCCTCGGGCTGGGCGAGTCGTGGACCGAGCAGGACGCCAAGAAGCAATACCGCTCGCTGTCCTTGCTGCTCCACCCGGACAAGACGACGGCGCCGGGCCCGGCCTCCGCGGCTGCCTTCATCAAGGTGCAGGCCGCGCTGGCTGTGCTCGTGCCATCGGCGGGCGCGCCAGCGCCCGCGCCGGAGCCAGAGCCAAAACCTGC